GCCGCGCTTAGGGATTATAACCCTTACTAAGTAGAATTCTCCTTTCTGTATTGCCGGAAAAGAAGGGCGGACGTATTTTTGCGCAGAACTTTTCTCTGCGTAGGCGGCTTTAAGCCGCGCTTGGGGATTAAAACCCTTACTAAGTAGAAGTAAATAATTCATATTAGAAAAAACGAAATTATCCATATGCACACTTTCGTTAGAAAACCGAAATAATGCATATAACAAAAACCGAAATAATGCATGCATGCACAATTTCAGTTCAAAACCGAAATAATGCATATGGCTAAAACCGAAATAAAGCATTCATGCACAGTTTCGGATGAAAACCGAAATAATGCATATGTGAAAGACGAAGGTATGCATACATGCACAGTTTCGGTTGAAAACCGAAATAATGCATATAAGAAAAACCGAAATTATGCATATGCATACTTTCGTTTTAAAAGCGAAATAATGCATATGAAAAAAAACGAAGTAATGCATACGTGCACAGTTTCGGTTTAAAACCGAAATAATGCATATGGTAAAAACCGAAATAAAGCATACATGCACAGTTTCGGTTGAAACCGAAATAATGTCTAAATGCACAGTTTCCATATGCGCAATTTCGGTGCCCCTAGCGGTACCACTGACGGCGCCACCTTTGTTCGCTGCACCGTGGTCCCGTCATTCGTTCATGAAATAATGCTGTCAATTTCTGTTCTCTTTGAACCAGGAAAGAGAATACGCTATCAATGAAACGATAGTGGCGATAGTACTAAAACTATCGATAGTTATTTCAAGTGACCAGACTATCGATGCTATCGATAGTATCGTCGATAGATTGACAGCTCTATTAACTATTGAATTTAATTTTGAACACTTTTCACTTGATTTAAAAACGAAGATTTTTAAATGGTAATCAAATAAAAAATTATCATTTTTACAACGCGTTTTTTCCTCAGTGTACGTATTGTGCCACAAAGCTACATTGCTTCTAATATCAGAAATTACTTCGAAAAAATGCAACGCCAAACCCAAAGCAACTGTAGCTACTTATTGGAATATATTGGCACCTATTCCTTGTATCTTCTTCTTTGATTTGGAGTACAAGTGTCCTGGGGGATGAGCTCAGGCTTATGGCAGCCCTACCGAAGAGGCAAACTCAGTAGTGTGTGCTATGTCATGAAATGAACATTCGGAAAAAAATTTTGTTTGTTGCCAAAAAACCAATTCAGCTCACTTGTTTTCAACGAACTAACAGGGCAATTCTAGCTAAGATAGTAAAAGGTCGTTCGTAAGACAAGATGCCATCTTGCATTTCGAAAGACTGTGGTAAGTTGAAAGACAGTTGCCAGAATTTCCCTGTAAGCCAATAAAGGCAATACGATGCACTCGAGACACCCGTACGGCAATCAACACAAAACATCAAAACACTTTTATTTTCGGGTGAAAGTTGTGGGAACACGAATTTCAATGAGCAACAATGTACGAGGCAACGGTCGAAGCAACTTGTACTGGTTGCTTCAGGTCATGTGTAGTCAGCATTAAAACCCGTTTTCCAAAAAAAAACTTTTAAAACATATTGAATAGCTAGGAGGAAATAATTTTGAGAAGTTTTTTATCTGCTTAAATATGGATTAAACAAATAGCCGAATGAATAAAAACTAAGCAATTACTTTTTCTTAAAAGTTTAGACCTTTTACTAGAGCTGGAAAACTATCGATGGCACAATCGATAGTATCGACGATTTGCCTTTTATTGCCACTATCGACACCATCTATAGTGTCGTTTTTAGGTTGTTACTATCGATAGTTGTAGTCGCCATCGATAGTATTTATGACTGTCGATAGTCTCTTCTCTATTTCCTCTACTATATCATTAAAATTTTAAATTTATTGGTGAAAAGGCTTTTCCGTTTAGATACATTGTGTGGAAATATGTGAAACCAGCGAAAAAGTTCATATAAAAGTGCAACTCTAAACTAAATTCCCCATTAAAAACGAAACGTTACTATCGATACTATCGATGGTGCAAAACTTAAACTATCGAAACTATAGCGTGGGAACACTATCGATAGTTTTCCAGCTCTACCTTTTACACGATTAATTCAAATCAATTTAAGTAAAAGGTGTAAAATTTTAAGAAAAAGCAATTGCTTAGTTTTTATTCATATGTCCCATTCTCTCACTCTAGGCTAATTTGTAAATTGGGCAAATCGCTGACCACTTATATCATAATTTCCGCCAAAAAAAAATTGAACTGTTATTGATTCAACATCTCTAAAATGTACCAAAATTTGTTCGACGGCAAATTTTTTCTGGTTCAAAACGATAAATAACAAGTAAGAAAGTCTAAGTTCGGTTGGAGCCGAACATTAAATACCCGGCGCAAGTATTAAATATAATATGGTTTTCACCTTTCCGAAAGCAACCGCTACATGGTAAGCCGGGGTGTATCACTTTTGAGTAAATTAGCGTCGTTAAATTTCGAAAGATTTACCGTTATATGGAAAGCGGCCTCAATTTTAGTCCGATTTCAATCATTTTCAACGCTTTGCTTCTATGTGGCAAGCACAATAACCACACCGAGTTTGATACAAATTGGTAGGACGGTTACCGAGATACATATATGTGATCATAAGTGGGCGGTGCCACGCCCATTTTCCAAAATTTTATTATAAACGTATTTTTTGGTAAAGAATTGTTGCAAGCATCAATTTTGAATAAATTAGCTTTAATATTTACTGATTTATCGAAGATTTCGTATTTCTCCAAATTACCGTTACAAGCTTGGAAGAAATTGGTGCAGCGGTTACCAAGATATACACATCTAACCATAAGTGGGCGTGGCAACGCCTATTTTCCAAAAATTTATAATATTCTTACTTTTCGTCTAAAAATTATTGTAAATATAAATTTTGAGTGAATAATCTTCAGTAGTCACTAAAATATCGCAGTTTTCGTATTTCTGGAAATTACCGTTCTATGGGAAGTGGGCATGGTTATTGTCCGATTTTGCCCATTTTCAATACCATCCGTCCTACGCCCGAAAGAAGTGCACGTACAAAGTTTCGTTATGATATCTCAATTTTTACTCGAGTTATCGTGTGCACAGACGGACGGACGGACAGACAATCACCGCTTAATCGATTTCTCTTTTCATTCTGATAATTTATGTATACATTTGTCTATATCTATCTCGATTCGTTTTGCCTGTTATAAACAACCGTTATGTGAACATAGTTATAATACCCTTGTGCACAAGTGCGCTCGGGTATAAAAAATATTACAAATTCTGTTAACTTTATTATTTTCTCGAGAGTAGTAATACCGATTTTGCGAATTTTTTAAACAGCTACAAATTATAATTTTTCTTTCCATTTCTATTTTTTATTTTGGCATGGAATTTTTTGTGAGGGTAATTAACACTTTTTTAAAATAGGATTTACTTCTCAATCGCTCCAACATGGTGCTTTGATGTAATATTGATACATATTTTATGAATCATTTGGAAACAAAAATTTGCTAAAAATGCAACGAGACGAAAGTTATTCTCCGGACGCGCACTCTTTGGAGACT